TCAACGTATCCGTAACCAAATACAGATTGTGATAATCCAGCATATTTTTCATGTCGAACGACTTCCATACAATCCTGGCACGTTCGTATTGTTCGTCGCTGATATCTTCTCCCGTTAATCCGCTGTAAAATTCTTTTTTGGGTGGAAGACATCTTTCGTTAAACTTTTCGTGATTGTTCATATATTCGTAAGAATACACTCCCTTCCGTTTCAGTAAATCTCGTTGTTCCTCTGTGTATCCCTTTTCCACACAGTACCGATCTAACTTTATAAAATCCGTCTTATTCTCCAATCCCTGTGCAAGTTTATCCAACGATGACTGCATCAGCTTACACGAATCCAAAAACCGAATTTCCACGGTCTTGCTATATTCCTTCCCCGTCTCTTCGTCCGTAAAAGGACCCACTAAAATCATCTTCGAAAAAGAAATGTACTTCTGTTCCGTCTTGGAAATACATTTAAATCTACCCGAAATTCTCGCAAGTGCACGGATGATTAGATGGGCATCGTATCCTTCGAGATTATGGAAATACACCGGAACGAACGATGGGACCTGCATTTTTAAATTACACGTGTTACATGCGGCACCTCGGTATTTTCCCGTGTAATGACAATGGTCTCGTACCTTGTGATTCTCTTCGGTGAATTTTTGGTGACACACGTAACAACAAGTTTCTCCTAAATGACTTCTTTTCTGATCGTCTGATAATTCCTCCATGGAAATGGGATCGTGAGTCTTTAGAAAAATTCACGCACTTTTCCAACGAGATCGTTCACGAACCTATCGGATATACACTGCAGTTCGTGAACCGATGTTCGTTGAACCGTCTCGGACTTCATCCTATTATCGTTCGTACTCACCGTATGAAAACAATAGGAATTCATGATATGATCTTGTAATTGTATCCTTCCCGAACCTTGGGGATTGTTGTCTTTTTCGAACCTCTCGATCGTCTCCTTCTTCTTTTTCAAAAAAGATTCCGTATTGCTACTGATCACGTACGGATGGATTTGCATCCTTCTTTCTCCCTCGAATTTACAAATGGAACCTTCTTCTGGATACACGTCCATCTGCTGATCTTCGTTCAAACACCATTTCAGATGATTTTCTAAAAGATCTTTTCTTCCGAATCCATTCAGACATTTATCGCAAAAATATTTGACATGTCCGTGGTTGCTCGTCTGGAAGCCTACTAGTCTAGAGAAATTCTTGACGATATAATAATGTTCCTCCCAAATAAAAAGACGTATCGTACGTTTTCCACCCGACGAAAAACATTTACTGATTTTTATCGGATAAAATCCTTCGTCTTCGTCCCACGAAAACACGTTAACGTTCACACAGTTGTTTCTCTCGAAATTGTTGATAGATTTTCCATCGACCGGAGTTGGAAATTCAACACCTTTCCAATATAAATCTTCCGCTTGCTGACGAAGTTCTTTCGTAATTCTTTCTGGATGTTTACCCACGGGATTTAACGATCGAGTCACCGCCCATTTAAAACATTGATCGTCTGTATTTTTCATGTTGATCAATGCATGTTTGTTCCTTATAAATTTCGGAAGCGAGATCGTCTATCCCTTTCCCTTCAACGGAATAAATTTTCCGATGTGAATGTCTAGACGCTGAACTCTTTTCAAAAACCATCCACTTCCTTCCTTCTGATATCTTGAAAATTGTTCCAAAACTTTCTCTATCATTTTTTCCCAAATATCGTCCGTCATCGTATCCACACCGTAAAGTTTATAATTCCCCGTCGTAAACGATACATCTTTTTCTATTTCATTCCCGATTTCTTCTTTCCCCATCAGACAAATTAATTCTAACCGAACGTTCCTGGATAAATTACCGCGTAATCCATTCAGAAGTTCCTGGATTCTTGAACGAACGGCTTCCAAAAACGAAACGGGTTCATAAGCCGTGACCGGTTTGATTGTATACCTTAAAACCATCCCGCGTATCGCACTTTCCTGACAAATCGGAGTCAACTCTAAAAATAGGTACTCAGTGCGTACATGTTGCATGCCACCTGAAACTTATGAAGCGCTATAGCGCTTATATAAATCTTAATTAGATACAACTGGCGTGAAACTTAAAATATCGATTCAATTAAGTTTAAAATATCAATATATTTATTGAAAAATAACTGTTATGTCAAAATAAGGAAACTTAAAGGTGCCCTACAGTCATTTTTTAGTCGAAAAGCCACCTTAAGTAGGGGACTCCACGGAGATTCGTTTGGCTGTATCTTACATGCAGTATCCATGAATATGAGTACTTCCGCACACCGGAAGATGCATACACGGCAAAAAACGCCGAGCCCGCTGCTCAACAGGATTGAACAATGTTTTGCTGCCCACGTTGTTCACACTTGTCAGCAATATTGAACAGTATTGTTGAGCCTGAATCGGGTGTAACAACATTGTTCAATATTGTTGACAGCTATGAACAATGTGGGCAGCAAAACATTGTTCAATCCTGTTTTCATCAGTATTGCATCAACCTGCGCGTTTTTACGTGTGTACATGCCGTGATGCGCATGTCAAGTAGCGACAATAACAAAAAAAAAAATGTAAACAATACTTACTTGACAAAAAAATGACTGTAGGGCCCCTTTAAGATTCTCATGCGAATTAGCCTATAGTGCAGACCCCAGCAGAAACACGCATATAGGCAATATTTTTATGAGCAACCGTTAATAGTTAGTTGCAAGCGACAGTAATAATAACAATAACAAGGTGGGTCAAGGTTTTATCAAATTTATAACTAAATAACGTTATTTCCTTTAGATTTAGCTTTATTTAAAGGTATAAAAAACCGTGAAAACGGTGAATTACTATAATAGATTGAAAATGATTATTTATCATTTTGACGTTTGAGTGATTGAAATGAGTTAATTTACACTATATCGAAAGTCATGTTGAATGTCATGTTGAATCTTATGCGTACTTCACAATGGTTGCTATTTCGTTGTATTAAATTTCAATAGTATGTATATGAAATACTATTTATAATTCAAATTTTGTTTGATATTTATATATCATGTTATTTACAAAATGTGCTATAGTTTTGAAGCTTTGCACACAATATACTCAGTGCGAGCACAATGGCTCCGTTTCAGTTTGAGTATATAAAAATCGAGTATTTTGAGAGCGTTCGCGGCTTCGAGGTTTTCACGATATATAAATACAAACGCCTGATAATTGATAAATAATCACTATCAGTGCGAGCACAACGGCTCCAAAATCACAGCAAATAACAGAATATAAGGTAAGCTAAAAACAGTAAAGCTTTACCTACCTCGACTTATTTTTCTGAAGCGCTCAATTATGTAAATTTTCGGCGAATAATCAATATTCCTTTGCGTTTCCCCGACGAAAATCCGGCATGAAAATGCTCGTCGGAAAAACTCGGTATTTGTCGTATTTTACGAATCTGCCACGTGACTGGTACGCTCACCGCTCACGACGACACAAAATTTAGAGCTATATAAAAGTTGCATGCCATATATGGCATGCAACAAAAATCTAGCCGCCGCTAATTCCTCCTTCTATTTTACACGCCTTATTCTTACTCGCTCGTTCCGACGAAGTCTCTGTTCCCGTTGATGAATTTTTTCCTCGCGAACACGTCTTTTCTCTTCCCGAACACGTCTTTTTTCCTCCGCCCTTTCACGAATCATTACACCACGACGTCTTGCTTCTTCTTTTGCGATACTGTTCTGACGAATCCTTTCCTCGCGAACACGTCCTTTCATCCCGAAAACGCCTTTTTTCTGCCGCCTTTTCACGAATCATCACACCACGACCTCTTGCTTCTTCTTTCGCAATGCTTTTTTCCCAAATACTTTCTTCACGAAGTTTCTGTCTTGTCTCTGCTTCGACCCGTTTCCGTTGTTTACGAGATTCTTTTTCCATCCGACTCTCGTTATCACGAAATACGTTATACATACGTCTAAAAAACGGAAGATCATCTTTGGTACTCCTTGTTGCCATTTATTTAAAAAAAAAATTCCTAACCTCGAATAGGTTAGGAAAAAATGGCGGGATACCAAAGGAATTTCCGATCAGGGGACGGCTTCCCACACTATGTTCTTTATTTCTATAAGGTATTGAAAAAAAATTACTATGATTTCCGATCGGTGGGACAAAATATATATTTTTCGACAGGAAAAAATATATATAATTTTTTATTAAGTTTTCATCCACGAAAATTCCCATCAAATTTTTTTATGAATTTTTTTTTTCCTGGGAACGTTCAGGACGTTCAGGACTTTTAGGACGTTCAGGACGTTCAGGACGTTTAGGACGTTCAGGACGTTCAGAACGTTTAGGACGTTTAGGACGTTTAGGACTTTTACGACGTTTAGGACGCTCAGGACGTTTAGGACAGAAGGGAAAAAGGTGAAATATGAAAATGGCCCAGAATCGGCGTATTAACCCTACTTTTATTCTAGGCCTCTCAGGAGCCGTCACCTCATAAATATGCAGAAACGCGCAATAGGCGAACTAAGAGGCCTACAAACGTCCACAAAATATATTGAGACTTTTTAAATCAATCCCCTCCCCCCTTACTTCAATGTTGAAACCTACTGTACTTGTCCAAAACGAAGATAAGGTGACACTAGCACCGCAACTGTGTCACAGGCAGTTGAAAATTAACATATGATGTTGGAATTAAACTATATTGTAGTGCCTAAGAACATTGAAAGCGGGGAGGGGGTTTGTCTCAAATATTTTGTGGACGATTGTAAGGACTAGGCTGGTTGCGAGGAGCTTCGTGCGAGGACTGGAACTCCGCCTTAAGAGACCTTACGATTTTAGGACGGCAACGCAACGGCAACAGCTACCAATACAATAGATCATTGAAAAGAATTGACTTATTACAATATATGAATAATTTAGTCACTGTCCTCGCTCTGTTTACGACGCCAAATCACAAATTTTCACGTATTGACAAAACGCCCGCATTCCAAGCCACAACAAGTGCAACTTCAAACTGGTGCAACAAGTGCAACTCCAAACATTCAAAGCCAAAACAAGTGCAAACCAAACATAAAACCCATGTCTTCAACTTCTAAAACTGTATTAAATTCATGTGATTGATAATATACGACGAACTATCTTTACTACCATTTATTTGAAGGAGTTTGTTTTGGCCGTCGCGTTGCCGTCCTAAATTCGCAAGTCTCTATTGTATCTGCGCTAGCGCAGATATAGAAAGAATATTAATTTTACATAAACTTTAGCTTTGATTTTCTCGGCTTAGACAACATTTATTTTTAAAATTACTTCGCCAACGAACTCATAAGATGGGTTGTTTTTTAAGTCATTTAAAGCACTTGTATAGTGGTGCTTTATATAATATAATAAAAAACGCTTGCGGCGAACTCGTGTTTTATATCAGATAAAGTACGACCACAAGTGCTTTATATTGTACATATACAACTTGAACTTATTTTATAATTATTAACTATGCATGATTATCATCATTAACCATGCCGGGGACATGTGCGCATAACTGATAAGCTTTTTTCTGTACTTTATCTGAATGAAATTTATCTTTATATTTATACAAATATAGACTTCAAAGCACTATACTCCTGTCAGTTTGATAAAGTCATCCAAAAAATACACACAGCTCTGTATCAGGATTCGTCCAACTTAAAGACAATCAGACGCTTGACAAAGGTAAGCAATATCAGTCAAACCCTGTGCACTGCACATGTAACGACTAGTTGTAAATTTGTTAATCGTACTAGAAATACATGCATGTAGCAAACCTTCGTATTTGCTAACGAATAACTTATGTTCCCAATAATTATTTCAAAATAACGCTTATTTTATTACCTAACGCGTGCTATATTAAAATGTTCAATTGTGCGTGTCTTACAGATCTGAAGAAGAAAGGAAGAAAAATGAGCTGTATGTATAGCATTTCTGTTATGGGATATGGGTTTTTTGATTCCCCTATCGATGTTTCTGACCTAGCGGGAGGGAGGATGGGAGGGTGTGTGGACAGGCAACCCAAGGGGATTGGACAACCTTGCTTGTTTAGGATTTTGACAAACGCTGCTGGGTGGAGGGTATAGAATTTGGAAAACTTTTAGTCTTGAACATTCGCAAACTTGGATATAAAGCAGACTGAGTGATGGGGGCAAAAATAGATAGCGCCTGCAGGAATTCCATATATGCTTTTGCATATCTACCAAAAAGCAGTATATAAAAAAATAACCAATCAGTGCCTGTATATGCATTTTTGAGGTGTTTCCCAGCTGTGACAAATCCGGTTAATCATTAACTATAATTGCGTTTCATATAAAAGCTGTGATAATGTGCGTGTATTGTATGTTATAAACTGCCGAAAGTTGGTACTAAAAAAAACGGGAAGCGAGGCAAGCTGTAGCGACATATAGAGGTTCTTTAATAACAGCCATGTAAGAGCAGTATTTGAAAGCAACTCTTCGCTTCAAACCTTTTTAAGATATCAGCAGACAAAATTTGATTTGAGAGAAAGTCGCGTATGCGTGGCCTGAAGTTGAATCGAAGTGTAACTTTAACAGATCGGGTGCATCTGTTAACCTTGTGAAAGAAAAATAAGGATAATAAGCCGCAGAGCTCTATAAATTTGCAAAGGAAGCAGTTGCCTCAACAATGGTGAAAATTCTAATATTAGACGACAACAAGAGAATGAGATTCTAGCTGTATTTAAATATTCTTATTTTAAATTTGCATTCACGAATATCTAATTGTAGAGATATTGCTGATGCACCACGGCTCAGAAATTTTGCTGTTTCATATCGTTTAGCTGATCTTTAATAATGCAATTCTCTGGAGAATAATTACAATAATAGTTGCTTTTCCTGATATTATACTGTATACGGAGTTTACGAATGTGAGACGGCGACGTCAGGACGACGGCTATCAATACAATGACACAGTTAATCCTTAGTACAAAATAAATGAATAATTAAAAGTCAAACAGGGGTTTTAGACGTCGTCCAAGCCCTGAGTGACAACAGCAAAATGCATGTTTTCACGTCTTATATAATTATATTGTAGGCTAGCATTGCACGTCGTGACAGGTACACTGTAAAAACTGATCGGTCGAAATGACCAAAAAAAATTGGTCACCTCGATGCATCTGAGAGAACCAATTAAAAATGGTCGTTTTAACCAATAAAATTAACCATTAATTAATTGGTCATTTCAACCAATAATAATTGGTTAATATAACCAAATATTTTTGGTTGTTTTGACCAATTAATAAAATGGTTAATTTTATTGGTTAAAACGACCATTTTTAATTGGTTCTCTCAGATGCATCCAGGTGACCAATTTTTTTTGGTCATTTCGACCAATTTTTTTTTGTCATTTCGACCAATTTAATGTCACAACCTATACACTGCATTAAAATGAAGAAAATTTGCGAGTCTTACATCACTGAACATGTATATATTATATACATGGAATTTAATAAAAAATATATCATTACAATATAATAAGACAATTAAATAAACTAGAGCTACCGGTACCTTAGAACTATGTGAGAGCAATTGCAAAGGAATACAATTACAATTGCTGTGTTGAGTGGTTATATTACTACCTAAAAACAAAAACAAGCAGAAACTCAACATTTCGAGCGAAGGGTCTTTACTCAAAACATTCAGTTTCTGTTTGCTTTTTTTTTCAGGTAATAATATAACCACTCAGCACAGCAATTTCACATTGGTACTACCCACGCTGGTACTAGTATACAGACAGTTTTAATACAATTACAAGCCTGCCAGCATGAATTGAACCTGCAGCCCTGCAATTCTACTGCAGCCATCTGACCTAAAGAGTCCTTTTGCCAAGATGTAACTTTCTGTATAATTATACCATGATGGTGGTGTCACTGGTAGTATATTAAATAAACTGGGATGACACTAGTATTGTATAAATGAACTCTTGGTTAGCTTGATGGATTCTTGGCGCTTGGACTCTCAGGGCTTGATGTTCCATAACCGGCACAGTACTTATTAGATAGTTATTGTTCAAAATTTCCATCTACAGAAATTTGGCTTTAACCCATTGAGTGGCAACACTCTCTCCTTCATGAGTAAAATTGTCTGGCATTAGACAGAAAAAATAATAAGGTAGAGCTCATTGCCACATAAAAGGTTAACATAATTCTCTTCAATGTAGAATATTTACAAGTTAGTATAATACCTGTACTGCATGTAGTGTTGTCACTGCTCAATCAAGCATGTCATACAAGTCCACTAGTTAAAATTTAAAAGTACAAGCTTCATACCACAAGTCAGCAACTCCATTCCTTGTCAGGTTTGTTAATCCATAAACATACTCTCCAGCAAAAGAATAACATTTTCCAAATAGACTATGCAGTACTTAAAATGCCATTAATGATTATATATATTGCCACTTGTTTAGACAACTTGCCTTCTGCTGGGAAGCTTTTATTAATAACTTTTCATTCAGGATCAGGATATATAATGAATCCATATTAAATACAACCTCTATTAAGAAAAAAATACATATTAAGGTTGATATATAATGGTAGCAAATTATTGATTGATTGACAATGAATTTCCTATTTTTGGTTAGTGTACAAAGCAAGAAATACAAAATTCAAATGCTTTCACTTGACATGTTTAATGTAAGACCAGCATGCAATTGAAGTAACATCTGCATCCAATACAACTATTCTCACTGGTAAAAGACTGTTT